TAACACCTACAGGTGCCCTCAGGGCCCTGGAGCTTAATGCCTGAGCAAAGTCCGGGGGCCTCAGTCCAGACAAAAATGAAACCCCTGCCTGCAGAAGAAAAGCTGTCCTGTCTTCTGAGTGAGGGAAAGGCTCTTAACTCCTTGGCTCTTGAAGTCCTGAGTGGCTTCTCAGCTGCTTCTGCGTCTCCTGCAAGCAGCAACATCATGCGTACACAAGTGCTATTTCTGGCGGTGGCGTGGCTGTGCTGAAGTTGCAAACCCCAGCACGGCCACGCTGGTCCATCCTGTCCTCTCGAAGGGCAGCCGTCCCTGCTGCAGAGGACTTTTCTTCCCCATCCTAAACTTATGCTGTCCGGAGCTGTGTGTGCAGCGGCAGGGCCGGCTGGGTGCCCACCCTACATGCAGCCCGGATCCCATGAGACAGAGCTGACAACAGGATCTCCAGCGAGAACTGCTGAGGCAGCCACTTCAAAGGTCACCCCAGCGATTATGTGCACAGGAGAGGCTCAGATGTGCCACACAGCTGCTGCTGTGAGAAGAGGGGAAGTGTGCATCCAGCTGCAGCCGCTATTACAGAAGCGCAGGAAACCAAAGCCCAGGGTGGGCGTTGGGGCTCGGATGCTCTGCGGTGCAGGGACCTCACACCCCTGCACAAGTCCCACGAACGCAAGCAGCTCTTTGAGATAAAAAACAGCGGAGTGAAGATGTTCAGCCACCGGAGTCAGGCAAGCAGCTCTGCCTCTTCACTGCTTTGAGGAGGGCAGCGTTGGGCTGGAAGCATCTGGACGTGCGATGCTTGGGATCCAGCTAACCCAGCGTTGGTGCCTAATGGCATGGAGGTGTCCCCAAAGCTGCATGCCCTTGGCTGTCTTGTCATCCTTTGTTGGTGAAAACAGGCCCTGCTGAGGCCCATGATGGTGCCCACAGGTAGGTGGCTAGAGTGGGTGAGATGAGACCTTTCTCACCTTCAATTGGGTGAGATGAGTCCCACTAGCTGTTTTGAGCCAACCTTTGGAAATAAAGGGAATATTTTAACCTGCAGCTGAAGCACTGGAAGAAGTGGTCCCCAATGACCATTTAAAATTGTACCAGTATGTATCAGAGCTGAATGTAGCTCCTTAACCCACTGTCACCTGAAATGCCCCTGCCCTTGAAGAAGTGGGTTGTTAGAAGCAGTCTTGCATCGACTCTGCGCAGGCTTGCCCTGCAAGGCAGGCTTGTCCTCACTGCCATCTCGTGAAGTTGTGCCAAGGCTTATGTCCCCAGCACACACAGACAGAGCGGAGCAGGCTGCTCCGGTCAGGGCTGAATTCTCCAAATTCCTTTGGCGGAAGATCAGATATAAACACCTATTGATTTTTTTTTTCAGTGGCAGCATAGCTCTGCTGCTTTCTGGGCTTGGCTCCACTGCTATGTTGACCTCTGGTTTCTTTCAGTTCCCAGAGATTAAAAAGGGCAGGACAGGTCATGAGGAAGAGCCCTTGGTGGCAAAAAAAATTAACAGCGCAGAGCCGCAGTAGCAAGGTCTGTAGCTTCTGAGCCTACTTCCAGCCCAGCAGCCACAGCAGCTTCCCACCACCGAGTGTCTGCAGTGTGCACAACCCTCAGCATTAACCAGCCGTGAGTCATGCTCTGAAAAATGTTGAGGTGTGGTTTAAAGCCCAAGTTTGTTTCTTTTGAGAATAAATGCTGGTCTCCTTTATATACCCTCTGGTATTTTAGTTTTTCTACCTAAGAAGACGAGAAACTTCTCACTTTCTCATTACCATGCCCTTTCAGGACCAAGGGTTATCAGGAAACGGATCAGGAGTTGCAAGATCTGGCAGAAGTTCACAGGAGGCACTGGGTGGTGAGCTTGGTGCTCAGTGGGAGACTTTCCTAGAACATGTGACCTCAGTGTGTCTCTCACCCTCAGCCGCCCCCTCCCCGTGCATATGCCGAGACGTTCATATCTTCTCTGTGCTGTGGTCTGGAGGTGTGCGAGGCTCCTGCCCACAGACAAGACACAGAAACCTACTGCTGTAAGCCTCGGAGCTGCTGCTGCTGGCCAGGCAGGCGCTCCAGGTGTGCCAGCATAGCTTGGCTGGTGAGGCTGTGGGCGGGAGGGCTCATGATGGGGCAGGACACGGGCTGTTTTGGCCGTTCCTACCTCCCGCCGCAGTAGAAAAGGCTGAAGTGGGTCTGGGCTCGATTGCCAGGCCAGCTGCAGCCACTGAGCTACATATGTGGGATGCTGACGGCAGAGGTGCTGTCAGAAGCTCCTGCAGGAACTAGTAATGTCTGCGCTGGTCTATGGCGAGGCTGCCTGTTGCAGTAGCTCTCTGAGAGGTGTTCCCTGACAGCCTTCCTCCAGCTTCTGCTGGAGCCTGCTTTGGCAACGTTGCTAATGACACCGTGGCTGCTGGTTTTCCAAAACTGCCACTCTCTTTCCCCCACCCAAAAGTGACTGCTGAGGTGCATACAGCTCCCAGTTTAACAAGCCCACCAAAACTCCCAACCTACCAGCCCCCCCACTCTGTTGTGCACAGCAGAGCTTCCCAGGATCTTCCTTAGGGGATGTGTTTTGCCAGGTCCCGCAAGCTGCCCCTCTGGGGATGGTGGCTCTGCATATCACAAAAGCATTTTCTAGGGCTTGGTCGTCCTTCATGTCCCATTCCCACTGGTCCCTTGCTGTGCACATGGGAGAAGAGCAGCGAGGCACAGGAGAGCCTCAGAGTCTCAGCAGGATGCTGGCACCTCGGTGCACATCAGCCCCTCCTCGTTTCTGATTGAGCAGATTTATTATTGCTTTGCAAACCAAGCAGCAGGTCTAGTCCCTGGGGAACTGCCAACTGATCACATGGCAAATTGTCCCCGAGTCTCATGTACCCTCCTCACCCACTGCCTCTAGTCCTTGTCTACAGCATCTGTGCACCTGGGGAGAGACAAGATTTCTGGTACCACCTTTAGGGCTCTGGTAAATATTTGGGGAAAAGCAGCTGGGAATAGTGTTCCACACTCCTCCTCGCCAATTTTCTTCATGGCCAAAAGGCCAGTGATCTGCTTTTTGCGATCAGGCAGGTTGTAGCTTCCTGGTATTCCCATTGGAACTAGGACTTTCAGGGGAAACACCAGCTGCCCCGCCGCTGGCGAGTGCCCAGCTGGTGCCAATTCTGTCCCACCAAGGTCTCCAGCAGCTTCAGCTCTGTGGCGGAGGCGGCAACACCCCTGTGTGTGGCTTTGCAAATCTCTCCTCCTGTGCAAAGCAGCGCAGTGCAAAGCACAGAAGTGCAAAGCTGGGCAGGGGGGATTGGTACAACAAGGTGGTGGTGGGGAGAAGTATCTTTCAGATAAAATCAGTGCTATATGGGTCACCCCTTTCCCTCCAGCCTTCTCCCCAGCACCAGCCTGCTTACATGCTGTTTAGACAGACACACATTTCCTGAGGTGCCAGCCAGATGCCTTAAGACTGAGGGAAAGGCAAAACAAAATAAACCAAATATAGCTGAGTGTTTTCATTTGCAGGAAATGCTGAGCAGCAGCAGGCTGGTTCCAAGCTGAGTCTTTCCTGCTGTATCGAGGATAAATTCATCAGGTATTCCATTTCCTAGGGAAAAAAGAAAAGCAGAATAATTCACTTTTAGAAATAAAGAGTAGAGCTATTTTCCCTTCTGACATGGTGAACACAATTACCTAAGGCATGGGAGGCTGAGATAACTCACTTATTCAGTCCCCCCATTCCCCAAAGAAACCATCATCATTCTGTCAGAAAAGGCTTTAAAAACCAATTCACATCCTGAATGCTAAAACATCACCACATACAGAACCTGTCCTTACGATTTCCACGCACCAGCTGCAGCATCACAAGCAAAACACACTCGTAGGCAGGGCAGAATTCATTATTATCAAGGCCATATACACCATGCAGGCTCTCTGTGTTTGCTGACCCTTCTCCCAGTGCTGCTGGTGTTTCCTTGTCCTTCAGGAACAATTCCCAGCAAAGACAAGCACACTGCACACTGGCATCCTGTTAGCAGCATGTGAGCCACGCTGGGGCTGGGAAAGTGTGCATGGGGAAAGACAGTCCCAAGCTGTGTTGGTCTGGAGAGCTCAATGAAGGGAAACCATAAGCCTGCGCTTGCCCCCAAATATAATCCCATTTAGGCTGCACCCTCCACTCCCACCTCCTCTGCCATTACATAAAGGGGAGTGGAGCAATGACTTTCAGCAGTGCTGTTTGAATGGCAGTGGTCCAATTCTGGACTGTATCTTTTTTTTTTTTTTTTTTTTTTTAATGGTGGGGGGAGAGTAGGTTGGCAGAGGGGAGGAAGCATCAGTTTGGTTTGCTTGCAATCCCTGTTTTGCTTTGGGAGCTTTAGAGGACAGACACATACTTCCATCTCTGCTAATCCTCCTCTGTATCAGAGGATTTTCCTGCCATTAAATGATAGCTTGAGAGAAAAAAAAAATGCCAACTTTTCGGAGACTGACTCTTATGACTAATGGCAGCCTCATGAGCAGGAGGGAGGACAGAGCCACTGCCTGGCTAGGTAAGTGATGTATCTAAGATGATTTCTGTTGGGATTTTAGTTTTGGCTGTTTGATGCTGAGCCGGTTACGCTCCTCTGTACCAGCACTTATTTCCAGGGGAAGTGGCCAGTCTCTTACTGTTGGTGATCTTTTCCCACCTCAGATGACAGGAACCTGCCCTTGGCACTGCTGGTGGGAAGAATGCGGATGACTTCGTGAAAAGGTGTAGCACGAAGCTGCAGGATTCCTTGAGAAGGTCAATGGTGGAAGAAGGATACTCACCAGGAAGGTGCTGGGGACTTCTTCAGTTTGAAAACATGTGGGAGAGGAGCTTTTCCCTTGCTCTTCCTTTCTAAACATAGACCTTAATGTGGGAAAATGATGCAGGGAGATGACAGAGGATGAACCCTGTCTCTGCTCTTCCTGTGTGGTTTTAGATCCCTAGAGTTCGCTTGCCAGACCTGAAATGCCACTAGTGAGTAATCAAGGTAATGTTTGCCATCATTTTAAATGGTGAGTATACTCTTATTCTGCATTACCCCGTAGTGGATTAGACAGATCGTTTGGAAAGGTGTAGGTTAAATACTCAATTATAGCAATCATTGTCTCTTTACCCTTCTGAAAACTGCAAACATTTTTTCAGTTTCTCACTCTTCCTTTCAAATACTCAACTACCATAGTATTTAAAGAGCAAAAGACATCATCCCTGGGTGGCATTTTGTTTATTCCTTCATCTCACAAATATTTTTGATCCTATTGCTGTATTTCACCCTTTTTCTTAAACACACATCTCATTTGAGCACCTTCTGTGACAATGAGTTGGAGGCATCTTCCAGCTGCTGCCCTGTCTGCTGCCATGGTGTAACAAGTAAAAGACATCTTTTTTTTTGGGGAAGGGGAAGGAGTAAGGAAGGAGAGGTGGGAATATTTCATGCTACATTGGTCAGAGGAGATGCGGCCAACAGCGGAGATCTGATCTCCTGTGCTCTGAGCAGCAAGGCTCCTGAGGGTTTGGTGGGGTTCAGATGGAAGATTTTTTCCTGACTTCCTTTGCAAGAGAAAGAGGGAGAATTGCCACAAAGACTGCAGTGCTGAGGGACTCCTCTGAGCTCCTGTTGCCCGGGGATTGTGTTCTAGTTGGATAGTCCTCGAGTGTCTGTTTTCCATGTACTGCACAATGCAAAGAGATACCCTTGTAAATCTTAGAAGTGTGCTGTGAAATGCCACTAGCAAAAGACACAGATTTGTCACTAGAAACCCCTTGCGTATAAGGAGAACAGGCTGAATATGGCTTCGGTACAAACATTTCCTTTATCAAGTGATTAGAGAACAAGCAGGGAGGGGAAGGATGGGATTTGGTGATCAGCGTGCTTGTTCCTACACTGCACACATATACACAGCTGCTGCGGGAGGTCTGCTCGTACGGCCAGAGAAGTGACTGAGCTTGGGGTAGCTGTAGCTAAACATTGAACTTGCATGGGACAGTCTCACATATAGGACAGCCTATGCACGTAAGCCCCTCTGGATGTCACCCTGAGCCCTTGCAAGGGTCTCGTTCCAGCAGCAACACATGCGTCCATCCTTTCCAGACAGCCACCTGTGGTCAGACATGTGGGAACGGGCAAATCCTTAATCTGTCTGGCCCTCAGTTTATGTAACTGCATAACAAAAACAACATATGCCCCTGTTTGCAAGCAACAGCGTGCACTGGTGCAAAGGGTAGCAAACGAGGCAGCCCCTGGGCAGCCTGCGCAAAGAAAGAGCAATCTGAGGCCAGCGCGTTGTCCCCTCTCTTGTCCTTAGGCTCCTCATCTGTTGCCTACCCAGGGCCCTGACTGAAGGGGACTTTCCTTTAGCCGCAGCTGTTAGATAAGGTCACAGGAAAAAGGAGCAGACCATACAAACAAACAAAATGACAGCCTGTCTAAAATCCTTTCCACCTCCCAGAGTTCTTCACTATCATCTATCCTTGAAGTGGTGCTGTTTTGCTAATTCTCCAGTCATGATAGTGTGGCCAGGCTTGGTGGGACCTGAATTTTGCTAAAGAGGCCACAGCTGAAGTCCTTCTGGGATGCTTCCTCCAAGTATCTAAGTCCCTCTTCTACATGCAGTGACCAGGTTGGTTTGAACAGAACCAGGCTGGGAAACTCCTGAGTTGATGTCCTGTCAATGGAGACCTGCCCAGCAAATAGTTTTGCAAGTCTACTTGAAGATGCCACAGGCAGCATGAAGTCATAAATATAGTACCATGCATGTTGCCTTTAAAAAGGATGGAGAAAGGGCAGCACAACTGCAGTTCAAACTGTGGTTTGGCCTGTACGTTAAAGACTTAGGGGCTGCAAAAATAGAAGCTTGATGCTTGCTGGAGTTGATGCTTCCTGGCATATCACCTCGCAAGTCTGCCTTAATAAAAGAAGTCCCCAGCACCTCCTCTGTGCTGGAGGTGCAGAGTATCTCATCTATGATGAGATCATGAAGAAAGTGGTTGAACAATTTCCCTTAATTTGTTTTTCCTCATGCTGTTCTACCAGTGCACAGTGGGAATGTGTTTTTAAACACTGTACTGCATCCTTAAGAGCTGATAGTTCCCGTTGCAGTGCTGCACTGGCTCATGGCTCGGGTGGAGAAACATTAAGTTCAGTGAACAAAGAAAAGGAAGAAAAGGAAGAAGCAAAAAAGCATGAATTCGATGTGCCCCAGGCAACTAACTGATCTCCCCTGCCCACTGCCAGACTAGCATATGCTGCCCTACCCAGAAATACTGCAGCCCATCCACAGCTGCTGGCCTTCAAAGCACCTCTGCCTGCTCCTGGGCCAAACCATGTCCCCATCAGCTTGCAGAGAGACCAATCACTGAGAAATACTTAAGTCTAGGGGAGTCCCCCTCTTGGGAAGAGAAACTGATCAGAGATTACATTCTAGATGACCTTATATACATATATATATGTATGTATGTATATATGTACCTTCTCAGAGGGTTTAAAAGCCCCAGCAGACTATTTTTTAGGAATCTTTCACAAGAGCTCCTTGGTCAGCACTGGCATACAAGTAGCAGGTGGCAATTAGCCTGGCTAGGAGGGAGGCAAAGACAGAGTAATTTTCCTCTTGTGACTAATGTATTTGCTAATGATGCATCCTGATTCTCTCCCCCCACGCCTCCGTGGGGACGGCGTGTTCCTCTCTGACAGTGATCCTTTGGGTCCCCCACGTCCACGCGGTGTGGGCCTGCGTGCGGTCCTGCCCTGCCAACTGCGTGTGTACCCAGGAGCGGAGCTGCTCCGTCCTCTGTGATCGTGCCGGTCTGGGGCAGATACCTAGCGAGTTCCCTTGCGAAGCCTCCTCTATCAACCTGGACAAAAACAGTATCAAGTTCCTTTCCGAGAGGGCCTTCGGGACCCTGCCTTCCCTCAAATCCCTGTCGCTCAACCACAACAATATCTCCTTCATCACTCCGGGGGCTTTCAAGGGACTGCCCAGCCTGACGGAGCTGAAGATGGCCCACAACGAGTACATTCGCTATCTTCACACACGGACTTTCACTGCCCTCAGACGGCTGGTCAAACTGGACCTGGCGGACTGCAACCTTTTCAACATCCCAGACAGGATCTTCATTGAGCTGCATGCTCTGCAGGAGCTCTTCTGCTTCCAGAACAACTTCCGGAGGATCCCAGGTGCCATCAGGGGCATGGAGAACCTGACCCACGTTTACCTGGAGAGAAACAGGATCGAAGCGGTAGCCTATAACTCCCTGCAGGGCCTGACCAAGCTGAAATACCTGAATCTGCAGGACAACAGGATAAATGTAATTCACGAGCGAGCTTTTCAAGGCTGCCAGAAGATGGAGTACCTGTACCTGAACGACAATTTGATCAGTGAGCTTCCAGAAAACTCCTTCGATGGCCTGAGGAGCCTGAAGATGCTCAACCTGGGGGGGAATTTTCTCAGGAATGTTTCCAACACCTGGTTCAGGGACCTGGGGGAGCTGGAGGTCCTCTACCTGGATCGCAACAGGATCAACTACATTGAGGAAGGGGCTTTCGAAAACCTTACCAGCCTGGTTGCATTGCACTTGAACAGCAACAACCTGACGACCCTGCCCTTTTCTGTCTTCCAGCCGGTGTACTTCCTTGGGCGGCTGTACCTCTTCCGCAATCCTTGGGAGTGTGACTGCCGCATTGAGTGGTTGAAGGAGTGGATGGAGAATTACAGGCTCGTCAGGGATATTCCCTGTGCCTCTCCCTCCTCAGTAGCTGGGATCGACCTGATGGACGTGCTCTATGAGAGATCACCAGAAGGTTACTGTCTTGACCCGGTGGAGCTAAACATCACATCTGAAGGCCCAACCCCAAGTGAAGAGCCTTGGTCTACCACGGAGAGCAAGTTCAACAGCCTTATCTCCAAACTCTTGCTCCAGATGGGCCTTCCCGAAGAGGTGGCAAATGCCACTGAGGTCTACAGTAACACCACGCAGCTGGATGGACTGACTGGTGGGGTTTCTTCTGGGGTGGGGGAAGACAGTATCGAGGCCGTCTCCTTCTCTTTTTACCTCCTAGCACTTTTTACAGTGATTGTTTTGCACTGCAAATAGTCCAAGGGCTTCATGGAGCATGGGTCCTGCTTAAGCATTTAGTCCCCATACCTACCTAGTCATTAGGGAGAAGTTCGTATTGTGGGGCTCCGAGACATAACTGGCTCCAAACTCTCCTGGGTTGGGTTGGTTGGATCTGGCTCCAAATTTACCTGGGAGCTGGTGGGATCTGGTTCAAGACTGGGTTCCACTCCAGGTGAGAAACCTGCCCTGTGGGGGTCTCAGAGCCTCCTGGACTGTTGCAGAGCTGGGTGGAAGACAAGCAATGGAAGAATGACAGTAGGGTTGAGCTTCACTTAGAGATGTGCGATGTCCTTTGCTGGGAGCAGAGAGGGAAGAAGGGTGTGTACAGATGGCAATGGCAGTATGGCGCTGTTTATTTCATTGGGCCAACTCTGGTTGGCCCAACCATCGAGTTTATAAGAGCAAGATGAGGCAGCAAAACCAGACACCCCTCCTCTCTTCATATCCCAACAGACAGCCACATCCATGGCGGGTGCTGCTGAAGGCAGGTGAGCTATTCCTGATTTCCACCAACATGTGCAGGTGGAGCAGGGCTGTCCTGGGCAGCGTCCAGGGATACAGCACTAGCCCTTACGAACAGGAGAACAGCATCTGGGGAGGGTGCCTGCCCCAGGTGGGTCTGGGATGGACACAGTGTTTTGGCCGTGACTACAGACAGGTTTTTGATCCTTTCTCCCCCCGCTATCCTGGCACAGGTGCAGGAGAACCAGGCGGACCCATGTTTGTCAAAACATTCTTTTCTGAGGAAAAGCTATTTCAGTGTAACAGCTTACTTATTAACCTCTGTTTCAAATGTAGTTTTATTTTTCAATGAATATATTGTTTTGAGGAATGTATTGTTTTTATTTGCAGATTATTTCATGGCATGACAGCAGGGGCAGAATAGGGTGATGACAAATGCAACGGGGCCCTACTAAATATTTCGTGTTTGCATCACTAATGTTTACCACATAGCAGTTCATATTATGCTTTACTAACCAACTATGCCGTCATTTTCTTTTATCTTACATGTTTTGTCTTTGAAATCTTCAGTGAAAGCTGCTACTGTGACTGGAAAGAATTATCAAGTTTTCTCTATCAGAGCACATTAGTAAAATAATTTGATATTTTGCTCTCAAAAATAAATTAACTTCTCAAAAACATTTTTTTTTGAGATCCTTGAATTACGCTGGTGTTTTGTTTGTAGGCTACACAAATGGGTATGTATGAATGTCCTTTTTACGGTCTAGAGCAAATGGAAATCTGTTTATTGCAGCATAAACAATAGACACTTTGACTTAGAACATGACTGTGCTTACATTTGTGTTAAGTAGCAATGCTTTAAAAAATAAGTGACTATATAGAAATACACTTCTGTGATATTTTAACTATATTAACTCATTATACATGGCTTATCATACTATGGTGTACATGTTCATATGAAATGATACAACATATACAATCCTTCATTACTAAGATGTCATGAAATAGGAATAAAAATGGAAATGATCTATAAAAAAATCTTTCAAACATTTCCCTAAACCTTTTTTTTTTCCCCCAAACCCCTGCCTTTTCATGAGCTGTTCAACATGAATGTGACCTCCACCCCTGCGCTGGCTCAGTCCCCATGGGTGCTGGTGCAGCAGTGGCAGAAGGTGAGCTGCCCTGGCTCACGCTTTGCTAAGGTGGTGCTTCAGTACGGACAGCATGTTGGCTAAAAACAACTGAGGGTAGCTGTCCTTGCCTCTGCCCCTTCCCCAGGTCACACCAAAAGCGTACGCGAAGGACAGGCCAGCTGAAGGTGGACTTCAGGCATCGAACGACTGAAAAATGGCGGGCAACGTGCAAATTCAATGCAGGAAGACCTTTTCTTAGCAGCTCCTGTGTCCTCTTACATCTGTGCTTGTCTGGGAGAACTGGGGAAAGACATAAACTTTTTCAGTAAGGGCTCAATGCTTCAGGAAAGGTGCCTTGGGTCAGGTCTGTTCACACCGGCTGGGCTGGGCCA